CTGAGCAAGAGCAAGACCCCGTCTCTACTGAAAAAATAGAAAGAAATTATCTGGACAACTAAAAATATATAGAAAAAAAATTAGCCGGGCATGGTGGCGCATGCCTGTAGTCCCAGCTACTCAGGAGGCTGAGGCAGTAGGATCGCTTGAGCCTAGGAGTTTGAGGATGCTGTGAGCTAGGCTAATGCTACGGCACTCTAGCAAGGGCAACAGAATAAAACTCTGTCTCGAAAAAAAAAAAAAAAAACTGCCAAACAAAAAAGTTCTGACTTCCCCAAAACTCCCTTTTGCCTTTTTCAAGCGATGAAATTAAGAAGAATTTTGGGAGAATAGAAGGGTTTTCAATAAACAGAAGGTCTAGCATGTATGCTCAGAAGCCCAAAATCTTTAAAAAGCAAATGTGGAAAACTAGTATTAAGAATGTCAACTTCATATGAGATGGTTTGATGTAGTTTAAAATGATTGTCCATAGTTGTTTACACTTTCCCTAAAACAAATACACTTTTTTGTGTTTTTTAAATGGAACTAAGGGCAAAGTCACTGCAACTTGCTTGTTATTCAGAACTCATTTGTGAATGACCTGTTCCTCAGAACAGTCTCAACCTTCAGAAGTAAAGGCTTTTAATCAAGAAAATGAGCTCAACCTCATCTGGAACACCAGCTATATAGGACAAGGTCACCCTCACACCAAACGGCCTGTCGAAAGGCAAGCCCTGAAGGAATTCACAGAGAACTATGAGCTCTGCATACCTTATTTTCCCACATATCCAGGAGTATAATTGTTGCGCTTTCCCCATCAACAATCAGGGTTCGCTCATAGGTATCTTCTAGAAAGGAAAGAACAGTGATATTAGAGTCAGGTGAATATGCAACACTTTTCCATAAAAGGGTCACGTAGAAAATTATGCTAGAAAATAAACTTACTAAATATGCAACTAATTATGTAAATATACAGATATCTGCAAAGGCAAATTACAAATTTTTTGTCACCTTCAACAATATTCTACATATATTCCTCCAGCAATTACTAAGCAGAACCCCTGTATCTCTTGAATGTGTATCACTAAACCACTCAAAAGGTATTCGTTTTCATCATTCCTGGACCTTTTATATAGGAGAACCATTTATGAGGATAAACTCACTTAAAAGCTTTTGGGTCAGATTCAATGGATGATGCTATGGGAAAATATTAACTGCCCAGTGGAACTGTAAGCCCCATTTTCATGAGCCCTACACGGAAATCCATTGAATCTTTCAGTGGGTAGTTACTGAACATTCACTGGCATTTCAGGAGCTTTGAGCTCACAGACATTTCTCCTCTTTGGAGAAGTACAAGAAAAAGATCTTAAGACTATCCCTGTTTTGGCTGTGTAGTTTTCTTCCTTGGAAAAAAAAAAAATGCAGTTCCCTAGGAATAAACGGGCTTGTTTTTCCATTTCGAGTACAGCAGAAGCGCTGCCTCCAGTTCTACTTGGTAATGGAAACTTTCCTCCCTGCACTGGAGCCCAGACTGAGTGTAGGTGAAGGGTGAACACGGTACAATGCACCACAGTAGTTCCATTCTGGAAAAATCTGTCAGGGGAGGGCGTGGAGGGTGTACTGGGATTTTTGCAAAAGGGATTCCCATCAACCCCATACAATCGAGCCCATTCCCACCCTAATATTTTCACAATCATGTTTCCTGTTTTCAATTTCATCATTTGAAAAGTATGATTTTCATAATGATTTCATTCAGTTTCTTGTTGTTTTTGCCTGGAATCTTTTCCCTCAGATATCTGCAAGGCTTGTTCCCTTACCCCTTACCTCCTTCTGGGGGAGATGTTTCCTGGCCATCGATTTACACTTGCAACACGTCTCTCCTGCCAACATTCCTTACTCCCATCCCTGTTTTATGTTTCTTCATTGCACTTACTGCCATCTAACACACAACACATTGAACCTACTTATTTTATTTTTTGTTCCTTCACCCCCTAGAGTGTTAGAGCAGAGATTTGTATCTGTGCTGTTTACTGTGTCCCCAGCACACAGGAGAGTGTCTGGTACACTGCTGGTGCTCAATGCACATTTGTCCAGTGAACGGTAGATACAGCATGTGGCTGTGGGCACAAGCAAACCTGAACTAGCACCTGGGCGCCATCCCCTATTAACTATGTGGCTCTGGACCACTTACCTAAGCTCATTAAGCCTCCGTTGTTTCATCTGTGAAATGGGATTGCTAACAGTGTCCACACCTTAGGGCTATGTGACAATTACATATATTGAGCCTGGGCTGAAAGTAGCAACTCAATAAACGTTAGCTGTTATCATCACTTCTGCAGGTGGAGGAAGCGGGTTCTTGCCATACTCAGTACTTCCTACCACAGGTAAATCCCAGCGTAAGAGAGCTATGTGGGGGGAACCAGGGCATTTCTTGTTTTATAATAGCAAGGAGTTTCTGAAAAGCAATGCTCCTGGTTTAATGTTTCTTCTCCTAGAGACTGGAATCAAGAGAGGGAAAGGAAGAAAACCGTGGACAAATGAGGAGAGTTAAGCAGGTCATTCTTCTAATCAGTGATAATTGTTTCCCACTGGGGGATTAAAACTCTGTCGTGCCGTCTTCTGTGCCCACAATAAGCAGCATAAGTGGGATCACAGTGGGGCATACTATTTGGCTTTGTGGTGGGGGGGGCATGACCACAACACGCAAATTTATCCAACAGAATGGAAACCAACAGACGGGGATGGGGGCTGACTGCCCCTTACTGCCACAGAGCTCTCGTCTTTTCTCTAAAACCCCTCCCTGCACTCAGATAACTCTCTCCACGAGGCACTTTCTCGGCCCTGGGCCCCCCACTCACCACCCAACAGCAGGCACAAGGGACTTGCTTGAGGGCCTGGTAATTCAACAAAAAACATACTGTATTCCAATAGCGATGGGGAAAAGCAAAGCCAAACTTTCTCTTGGTTTAAGAGAGATCAGAACAAGTCTAGAGCCAAAGTGGACTGAGGATTACAGCTGTGAACGCGGAAACAAGAAGCTTTGCCATTCTGCAAGTTTCCTGGCAGGATCATTCTGCCTGGCCTTAGGTCTGCCTGAATATCACAGTGTCGGAGACCTGGGAGCCCAAAACAATACATCTCCCCGCTGCTTTGTGCATGTGGCCCCTCCCTCGCCACCCCCAGTCCCTGCACATGGGTTTCTGTATCACCTCTGGCTACGTGCCCCAGAAACTCTTCCAACACACCGTGCATCCTGTCTGAAGGCCCGCCGCTCCCCAGGTGCCAGCCAGGGAGTAACTGAAGCTCTAGGTTTCTCTTTTTAGTTCAGTAGCTCAGCTCATCTTTCAGCCTTTTCAAGTGCTAATCAGGTGCAGCGAGGGGAAATAAAAGAACACCAAACTCCAGCAGGGCTCTTTGAAATTTGCTCTTGGTTAAGAAGTGCAGAGCAAGGGTAGAGGCCCATGAGCCTGGGAGGCTTTTTGGCGGCCTGGGGTCCAGGGACGTCCTCCCTTCCCCAGTGTTCTGGATCAAAGCTGGGGGTGTCCATGCACACTCCAGCACACTCCACACAGCAGGAGAAATCCTCCTGATGGGGTGAGACGGAGGTGTATCCAGGGGGCGACTGTGGCCATAGCCATTTTCCCTGGGCCGATGCTCCTCAGTCTGTCTTTCCTCATTTGATCCCCCAACACCAAACTTTAGTCCGGCCCCTCTGAATCCTATTCTCTACTAGGCCTCTACCTTGGGTTGCCATGTCCGTCCTTGCAGAATTCGGTTTTAGCAAGAACCTTGCTAAGTCAGTTTAATGAGGATTTCCCATCTTCAATAACTGATCAAATTCCTCATCCCCTCCCTCCCTTTGATGTCTAAGTCCTTGGCCTGACTTCAGCAAGAATCCCCCTAACCTTGATGTCTCCTCTTTGTAATTTTCCATCCACCGACTCCCCCACAACGTGCCGCTTGGCTATAAATGCCCACTGGTTCTTGTATTTGGAGTTGAGCCTGCTCTCACTCCCCTACGGGGATAGTCTTATGCCTACTACAATAGTCCTGAATAAAGTCTTCCTCTCTGGGTTAAAATTTTTTTCATTAACACCCCTTGTGCTTCGAGGCCCCTCCTGGCCAAGACCGGCTCAGGTGCTGTGTGTGGAACTCACACAGGTGGTCTCTCACACACTGGAACCGGCTCCTGCAGCCCCTCAAAAGTTCTGAGGCTCCAGCCTCCCTTCCCCCAAAACACTTTCAACTGCTTTCAGCTTTCATAGCCCAAGGGATCCGAACAAACCTTGGAAGAAATGCCTGCTCTAAGAATACTGTCCTCTCCTCTGGTGGCTCAGGTCTCCTCCACACATCTCAAAGGCCCCCAGCCAAGAGTGACCCAGGAGGATAGAGGCTACAAGCAATGGAACCACCAGGTTTGGAAGGTAAGCACATCAAAAGGAAAGAGTAGATTCAGAATCATCTCTAACTAATATTCCACACTTACTCTGTGCCAGGCACTATGCTAAATGCTTAATATGTTATCTCCTTTAATACTCACACACCCTATGAAGTAGGTGTTACCCGGGTTATGCCAATAAGGAAGCTTGTCCAAGAGCACCCAGCTAAGTGAGTGTCAGAGCTGGGGACAGAGCACCCATTCATCAGACTCCAAATCCAGTGCTCTTTCCCGCACTGCACAGTGTGTGTATGGAGCCTTCTCATCTAGGTCAGGGCCTCCAAATCCTAGCTGTCCTTAGGGTCTAGCTCAGAGACCACTTCTTGGATGAAGCCTTTTTTTTTTTTATACCCACAACCAGAAATAATCTTTTCACCTCTGAATTCCCACAGCACTCTCCTTATACCAATTTCAAGACACTTATCACATCCTATCTTGATTTATAGTTGGTGCACATAGTATGCGCCATTGCATACTGTGAGCATCTCTATGGAAGAAGCCCCATGTCCCCAGAGTGCCCCATCAAGTGCCGTGGTATATGTTCAGTAACTGTTTAGGAATGAAATGAATGGCATTAAATGTGTACAGAGTCATAAGATCATTGCAATATAACTGTAACATTCATCTTTATTAGGAGAAGTAATAATAAGAATATTGTGTAGATTTATTTTTCTTATGGCTAATGCTGGAAAAAAACGACATAGGGATGTGCCTTGGAAAACCTTCCTCTTGGGCAACATAGGCCAAGTAGTGATTCCAACGGGCCTACAGATAGGTGATGTCATCCTACACAGTGTAAATCAAGTTACTCAAACAGGACACATTACATACGATGGGTCACCTGAGAAGCTTCTCATTGTCAAAGATTGTCTGTTTAAGGAGATAAAGGAAGGATCATCTTTCTCTCTTCCTCTCCCTCTGTCTCTCAACAAAAAGTTTTCCCAAATACAGAAGCCTGCCTTCCCAAATTCCAGGTATGAGTTGGTCTTTCTTAATACTTTATGCCTATGAGGTTAGCACCCTCTGGATAGATAACACTCCATTTTAATTAATGGACAAATATTCTAGAAACTTTACTATCCACAACTTTTTCAATTCCTCCCTCAAGAAAGAAAAAAAACTCTCAGTTGATCTATTGCTTATGTCAGTCCCGAAGCACGTTATTGTTATTTCTTACGGTAACCATTAATTTTACCCTGCTCTGCATGGTAGCCACGGGCACTTGGCTCCTTACGAAGAGGGCAGGGGCACCTCACCCACCACTGTGCACCCCAGAGCTCAGAGCGGAGCCAGGCACGTGGCTGATATCCAATGTGCCATAGGACTCGGCAGCATTTGGAAGCTAAATCCTGAGGCCTCAGGGGACAGTGATAGAGCACAGGATTTGGGTTCAACCACAACTAGGTTTGAATCCTGGTCACGCCGTGTACTAGCTTTTTAGAGTCACTTGACGTTTTAAGCCTCCATTTCTTCACTTGTAAAATAGTGATATTAATACCAAATTGGTTCAATTTTTTTTAAGTATTATCAAAAATACGTGCGGGAAGTACTTACCACAGTGTCTGGCACATAGCAGGTTCCCATAAATGGCAAAATGGGAAAAGCACTGAACTAAGATTATACAATCCCAAATTCTAAACCCAGCTTCCCCGCTGGGTGATTCCAGCTAAGCCACTTGGTCTCCCTGAGACTCAGTTTACTCAGGAGTACAGGAATTTTGTGAGGACCAAAATAAACAGCAGCAAAAATGTGAGGCACCCAGGAAAGTGCCTCTCCCCTTGCAAATGTTCACTCCAATGTTAGTTCCTTCCTCCCTGGCCTCTCTCCCCACAGCAGCCACCCGCCAGCCTTTACAAGGAAAGGGAGAATCAATTGTACGACACCGGCACTATTTCTCCCTCAATTCTTGTTTGGCTATAGAGATTCCAGGAGCGAGGTAAGAAATCGATGTTACATCAATGAGTCATCATTTATAGCTCCGTTCCCGAGCTGCCTCCCAAAGCAGTGAACTCCTTGACACTGAGACAGACAATCAAGAAGAATAAAACCTTCAGATGAAATGGGCTGTGGGTAGTGAGGAGTAGGATTCACACACATCGAGTGGAGGGGAGAACTGAGTCACCACTAAAATGTCTTCGTACCCTGGAAGCCTGTGATTCAGTTCTGAGTCGCAACTGAGAGTATGGACAGACAATGTGACTTGAGCAAGTACTGGACAGTTCTAACCTCATTTCTGCAGCTGCAGATAGGGACACATAGCTACCCTGGCCCCGCGTGCTGAGACTGAAGCCGAGGCTGAAAGACATTTAATGGATACCCTTGGCTATTAGGATCCTCACATTATTTACTGGAATACAGACAGGGCTGTGCTTTACCCATAGTTGAAGAGTACATGCATTTATGAGATAATGTCACCCCAACACAGTTTTGGAAATAGGCAAGGCTTCAATAAACAAATCTTTGAAATGAGGCTATACAGGGAAAATTGTCTAGAAAAGCTGTAAGACTCTATACAAAGTGTTTATCATCATTGCTATACTACAAATTTTTTAAAAAAATTATTGTACTATTTCAAATACAGATTTCAAGCTATTTTATACCCTCAAAAGCTTCTAATACTGATGTAAACAAATGGATCAATCCATCCTAACAGTTTTTCAAATTGGTTTGGCTTTGGAGATAAAGGCTGTGTCTGTACTGAACTCTGGGAAGAGCATTCAGGTCAAAGTCAGCAAAAGCCAGATCCTGATCCTCTGGTTCTGTCCTCTTCAATCAGCCTTCCCCAGCCAGTGTAGAAATACAACCTAAGAAATTCCCTTTCTGGCCCAGGTACAACAGATTTGGGTCCTATCTACGAGCATGTTCATTTTCTTGCCCCAAGAGCCCGTGCCAGGGCTTTTCTGAGGACTCAGTTCCCCCAGCCAGTGCCAAGCATACGTGACCTCAGCTTCCAACTCCGCACAGCCCAGCCACTCTCGTTCTTTCTGCCTGGACCACTGCTGATGGACAGAAGCCCACGGGGACTGGGCCACCTACCTCCCAGCACTTCGCAGTCGCTGTCCATGCTGTCGTGCACGCCTGCAAAGATGTTGGCCAGAGTGGACTTGCCCACCCCCTGCTCCCCTATGAGCACCACCCGGTAGTAGGTGTTCCCTGACTCGGAGGAGATGACTGAGTCTGTGGAGTCGGAGGACCAGCTTTGGCGGCAGTGGTCCTCCGGGGCAGCAGAGTGGCGGTTGTGGTGGTGGTGGTACTGATGGGGCTCTTTCTGTACCATCAGATGCCTGCCATCGGCTGGGACGCTCCAGCGCTGCTGCTGCGGCTGCATGCCCACAGTGCCCTGGCGCATGGTGACATTATTCAGAGTCATCGTTGGGTCCTAGGGAGCAAAGCAGCCAAGATGTCAGCATTAGTAAGCATGAGCAAGAACTCGAACACATAGTCAGTCATCAGTGATATTTCATTAGATGGAGCAAGAAGCAAGTATCCCCAATATAAGGAAAAGCAATGAAATGCTCCCAAAACCCCAACAAGCCAGGCTTGCAACTGGACACACACACACTCCCCTCCCTGTTGGTAACCAGTTCCTCAGGCAGACTGTCATTTACATAGAGCAAAAAGTACCATTAACATTGCCCACTGCCCATGGGCTTCCTCCATCCTCAAAGAAGCCTGATCCCGGCTCAGAGCAGGCAGAGAGGCAGCTGGAAGGAACTAACGGCCTCCAGAGATGGCTTGAAAAGCAACAAGTTAGTGTTGCCGGGGACCAGCTGGCCAGGTTAGCCGCTCTTGTCTAAACTTGGCTCTTAATTGCACCCACATCCAGCAGGCTTTTGTGCCTGGGTGGGAAACACGTGGCAATGACATCACTCCCCCTGGCTGCACTGGACAGGCACTTATTGGAACTTCCATGTTTAGTAAAGTTGCCATGATGCTCTCCAGCTGTGTGAACAGACCATTATGGGCTGGGGTGGGGGGATTCCTGTTTCAGGTTCATGCCTCAGCTCTGCCCTTTTGCCCACAGACACCACTTTGAAAAACATCCCAGCTCCAAGCCTGGTCATTCTGGCAGGGAAATGACCTGCTTGCATTCAGACCTGTCAAATTTGCAGAGAAAGAGCTTTACCCTTATCAAACCACGTCCACCCAGAGAGTTTTTAATTCAACTCAGATTCCCACCTTCTTGAAGCAAATCAGAAGACCAAAGACTCTCCCAAATAACATTCAACAACTTCCCTATAACTTTCCCTTGGCAGGACTGCCTTCCCTTGCACAGAGCTCTGTGTTTCCCAGGCTACTCGAGATAAAGTCGAAGCTTTCACATTGGAATCAGCAAGAGAAACGCACAAACACTCCTCTCCCCACCTGACCCCCACCCGCCACGCCCCACCACCAGCCACGAACCAGGACAAGGACGATCAGCCGGTTGTTAAATCTTCAAGCACTGCCTTAGTTGGCCAACTTGCATTCAAACAACAAAAGCATAAAGCATCACTGAGGGCTGCCCTCTGACCACCCGGGCTGTAGGAGGAGGTGACCCTCCCACCGAACTGAACTAAGGAACCTGCTGGTGAGAAGTGACATCCTTTGCACCTGGAGCTCTGCCCCCCGCCAGAAAACCACAGCGCACACCGCACCTTCCGGGGGCTCTTTCCTCAACTTAGAAAGTTCTGCGGGCTGGAAACGCCCGCTCCCCTCTCCCTCCCCGGGCCGCCCTGCTTACTTGGCTCGGCCGGGTGGGTCCGCGCCGGGGTCCCGGGGCCGCTCCGCCGTGCCGCCGTCCGTCCGTGTCGCCGCCGGCAGCCGCCGCGGCCCCGCCGTTTATAACGGCCCGGCAGACCCGCCACGGGCTTTTCCGTGACGTCAGCGCCCCCGGCGGGAGGGGGCGGCTCTGCAGCAAACTCCGAGTGGCAGCCGCCTGGCGAAATCGGTTACTCGCAGTCATGTGACTCCCCTCTCCCCTTTCAAAAAATAATGACAGTTCAATCCCGGGCCTCCTTTATTTTGTTTTATTTTATTTCTACCAGGTGGACACAGGAAAATGGAAAAATACACTAAGTGCCACTTAATCGCCCTTCCCAGCAAAGCACTCGCGAGCTGTCGAAATAAAGGATGGAAGAAGGGTTGCGAGCTCAGCGTTGCCGAGAAAACAAGGATCAGCCGGGAGTGAGCGGAGACTTTAGCCTCCGCGATGAGGCTGCAGCCACCTTGCCTGGCCAGGGCTTGATTTAGCCGCATCTTCTGCCTTCTGCGAGGAAAACAGCCTGTTCCTGCCTCCTGTCACCTTCTCTCTTCATGGGGGAGGGAGAGGGAGCCCCACAGGCTTCCTTTCCCTGCTCTGGCAGGGACCCAGAGAGCAGGGGCCAGAGAGAGGTGAGGGAAGGGGACATAAAAGTTGAAAAGGACAATTTCGGAAAATAATTCAGGACCCATGCAGACTGTACTAAATATTGCTGGCCCTCCTGCTCTCGGCCAGAGTGCTGAGGCTCCTCAATCAGGGAATTCAATCAGCAGCATCTCTGTACCAGGCTCCCTGGCACGGCGGGGCCTCGGGCGCAGAGCCAAGGCATCCCGGCCATGGGGAGAGCAGGAGTCCCTACTAGAGGCTCCTCTGAATAAAGGGCACAGGATAATAACTGCTACGACCACTTACTTAGTACCTCTGAGGACCTGTTCTTAGTAGGTACTGTTAGGCCTCCAGGGACCTTAATCCTGGCTACAGCTCTGCAAGGTGGATACATTGCTACCCCCATTCTATGGAGGAGGAAAATGACGCAGGACTGAGGACCTGCCCAAGGTCACAGCTGGTGTAAGTGTCAGAGTCAGGACTCAAAACCTGGTTTGTCTGACTCTCTGCACTGCACCACCCAGAGAAGGGTTTCAGTGACCTCTTCCTGGGGACATGGGCATTTCCCAGACTGTGTTTAGAGATGATGCCGGCCTTTCCAACATAGCCATCCACTTTTCCAGCCAGCTTCATCTCTGGGTTGGCTGGTGGCTCCAGGAAGCAGCCAAAGGCACCAGTCTATAGAAGTGTCTGGACTCTGCTGTTATTACAGACGATTCTCAGTTATCCCGCAGGCACGCGTCTGCTTTGGGGATTATCTAAGGCCTGCCAGGTCCCAGGCTGGCAAAGGTGATATTGGCAGAATAATAAAAACTTAGAGTTCCTTTAGTCTCAGGCATCCCCCGGCCCCAGTCTTCTACTTATTTTTTTTTATTTTATTTATTTTTTTTTTTTTACTAGAGATGGAGATCTCACTCTTGCTCAGACTGGTCTCGAACTCCTGAGCTCAAGCGATCCTCCCGCCTCGGCCTCCCAGAGTGCTAGGATTACAGGCATGAGCCACCACCCAGCCCTATTCTACTTACCTAATGCATAAGGAAACAGAGACCCAGAGGGATGATGACCACTCAGGAGATGGCAGAGCTGGAACCAGAACCTGGGGATCATCATTCTCTGGACAATGCCCTTCACTTCCGTCAAGTTTTTCCTCTGGCTTAGCCAGGAGGGAATGGCTACAGACGTGGGGAAAGGAAAAGAGAGGCAGGGGAGAGGGAGAGAGGGACAGGGAGAGGGGGAGAGGGGGAGAGGGAGTGAGGGAAAAAGGGAGAGAGTGCTCTCCAAGGGTGTATCACTGACTCCATTCTAAAACACATGTCATTGGTGAATTTTCTGCATTTCAGAATTCTCCATGCTTTTTCCATGCTGAGCTTCTTACTCTGTCAACTGGTCTCAGTAGAAACATGGGAGTGAAAACTAAGAAGAAATCGGTTTATAAGCATATGATATAGTCTCTCAATTCTACTTTTGCCCATTGATAAGAACCTAACACTTCATAAAAACCTAATTCTATGCTAGGCAATATCTACTATGAACTATTTCCCATTGGTCTATGTGAAACCAAAGAAAATGAACTTGAAAGACTGGGGAGGGGAGGCTCAGCAACGTTGTGTTCCAATAAAAGAATCTGCTTATTAAAATTTTCTGCCCCACTAGAAGCCACATGCAGACAAATGAGAAAACAACTACTTAGGAAAAGTTTCGAATGGCAGTTAGGTTGGAACGACTGTTTAGAGAAAAACCACAGTTACACCTCACAGGAAGCACTTTGAGAGCCAAATCTTATCCAGTAGAGCTCCATCTACCTGGTCCAGGACTCCAGCTCACTGGGACCATCCAAAGGTATACGGAGCTGGAGAAAAAAGGTGGAATCAGGGCATTTGGGCAAGTAGTGAGTTCCGAAGAGGAAAAATTGGCAGAATATTGTAGTTTCTTGTTCTATGAATTATTCTCTCTGTATTCTTTCTGCCAACATTTGAGGCTTCCTCAATTTCTAACTAAAACAAGTAGCTCAAAAGTATAGCAAAGAGGCAGAACTCAAAGCAACAAAAATAACTCACTTTACTGACCAAAATCCATGCCCATCTCAATTAATCCATATCACCACTGCAGTTGCCCATCTTTTATGGAGGAAGGAGCTGAGTAATGAGATTAAGTAACCAGCCAAGGTCACAGAGCTGTTAGGTGGCAGATCTGTGCACCCAGGGGCCACAGTCTTGACCATGTCCTATTTAGAGGATATACTTCAGCCCTTGTTCCCATGCTAGCTCCACCTTGGCCTGCTACCTCCCCAACTCCCCTCAAAAGAGGAGGAGCTTTTATTTGATTGGCCAAAGCCCATGACCTTCACTGCACCACCTGTTCCTAGTGGGCAGGGTTACTCTGCTTAAAGGCATGAGCCATGTTTTCCTCTCTTTTCCCCACATCCCTGTCCTAGGTGAGAAAGGGAACTTGGACTCCCTTTGGAGGCCTGCCCACCTCTCTGTCACTGTTACTGTCTTTCTCTCAGCATGTAGACTTGAGCAGTCAGATCCTATGATTTCAAATGGGATGAGAGGGAGAGGAAAAACACGGGGCTGTGAATAAAAGGCGGGCGGGGTGGCTGCAGAACCAGTTTTTTTATTTCAGCGTATTATGGGGGTACAGATGTTTAGGTTACGTATGTTGCCCTTCCCGCCCCCTCCCCCCCCCAAGTCCGAGCTTCAAGCGTGTCCATCCCCCGGATGGCGTGCATTGCACTCTTTGTGTATGCATATACCTGTCCCCTTCTCCCCCCTCCCCTCTGCCCACTAACATAATATTCCTTTGAATACCACCCCTTGAAAACTCTAAGAGAGGATGGATGACAGGCCTGTATATGCCTGGATCTACAATGCTATTCTAAAAGCTGTAATTCTATTCTAAAACAGAATCAGTCACTTAATCTTGAACATACCACACTGCCTCATCTATACTACAGACTCACTACAAACAAGGCAGTGCTTGCCCAGGCCATCGAGTAAGTGCTACTCAGTGGAAAAGGGGACACCATGCGAATGTTCTCCCTTTTCCTCCAACAAAGAGGTAGATTATAAACCAGGCACTGAGTAGGCGATAAAATAAATAAGGTTTTTTTCCCCATTGTTCTTTAAATGTTTTGCATTTTAATACCTTTAGGCAAGGCAAACTCCACCAATTTCCCACAGTTCTTACTAATCCCTAATATATTCTACACCAACCAGCTTGTCTCACTTATACTATCTACCTGGCCCCCCCGAAGGCTTTGACTTTGTGATCCTTGCCTGGGCTAAAAAAAAAAGGCAGGGGATTTTATGTCAGAAAAGCAAATTCAAACCCAGGCCCTTCCTCTCCTCGTCCATGTGTGGCTGGAGATGTCACCAAACCCCAGAGGCCTTGGCTTCTGCTGTTCTGGGGACTGAAGAGCTACTGACTGTGCAAGTGCTTGTTAACCACGGAGCACTGTGTCAGCGAGCGTGATGATGATTATGACGCAGGAGCCAAAGACTGAAGCTCAGCCACCTGCCCTCGGTTTTGCTGCCTTTTAAGTCTCAAGTTAAATTAATCCAGCAGAATTCAGGGCACAGGAGGTGGAAGGAGGAAGGACGGAAAATGTGCTCATATTAGATATTACTAGGAAAAAATAATTAGCAAGGAGGTTGTTGTAAACAAGAGAAGATGGGGATTAAATACCCAGTATACATCACAGGTCTCCACCAGCCACAAAAATACTCAGGAGTAGCTGGGTGGGAGGCAATGTGCAAAGTGTCTGAGCGCAAAAAGAACCACCCACCCACTCTGGGAAGTCTAAAGAAGGAAAGAATTACTATACGGAAAATCATTGCTTTACAGAAGTGGAAAAAAAAAAGGTTTCAATTGCAAAATCAAAAGAGCCCTGATTAAGAGAAAATAAAGACTGAAGAAAAGATGGCTAAGAATAACCTCCCAGCAGCCAGAGGCCTGCGAGATCCAGATGGACAGGCCCTCCAGCTGCATCCTCCTCAGACCAGCCCCCAGCTTCTCATCAGACTCCTGCACAGCAGATTTAATTTTCCATTGAAAAAATTCTTAGTGATCACCCCTCCTCCACTCCATTAGCCCAGCCTGCTGCAGGCCTTTCCAGCTCCAGTGGCAGAGCCCGCTAGAGCTCTTCCTCCAAATCCTGCAGAGTAAGTGCAGAGTGTATCTCAGAAGGCTGAGGGGAGCCTACTAAAGAAAGTGAACATTTTCTGCCCAGGTTCCTCAATTCATTTGTTCATTAAGCGACAAATAACTAGTGAGCATCTACTTTATGCAAAGACTGCTCTAAGGGCTAAGGAAAAGATCCTTACATTCATGTAAATTCTATTCTGATAGGAGAAATAATTAATAAAGTATCGCCACATTCATTCATTCATTCGTTCACTTGTTCTTTCTCTGATCATT